CCGTAATCCCAATAGGGGCTTTTGTTGCGACTAGTGGGCTTTTATACTTTTGGGGGAAGACCATTTTAGTGGCCAACAAAACTCAGTGACACCCCCCATCAATAAACTATTGTTGGTTAATATGGGTGTGGCTCAAAATTAAACGGCTGGGGTTACGCAGGTTTAGTCTTTGGTTCCATTTGAATTTTGGTGTCATTTTTGTTGGTTACCATGTTTTTGACCCACACCCATATGGGCTCAACATTAAATCGGGTCCAGGGGCTAGTGTTCCTTTTGGGGCCCCTTGTCCTCTCGTTGGAAGGCCCCTAAAACAGGTCGACGCTTTACGGGTTGGATTTGATCCCCGGTTCTTGTGGAAAAGTGGGAAGCTACCAAAAGGGTCCCCAAACCGTTTTTTTTTTTGCGTTTCAGAAGATGTTTCTTATATTATCCTGGTTTGTTTAAGGAGAATGCCATGACTGCTGGACATATGTTCACATCTTCTTTTTGCCAGGGGACGTATCCGCAAATGGAGGCTTTCGGTCGAGAAGTCTCTTCAGGCAAATGGTGCCATGTCATCGAGTTTGCCACGTCATGATGAAGGTTTCATTTCATAGAGTACAAGGGGGGTTGCGGCATCATGATCTTGCCCTTATGTTCGGTGAGTGAACTATATTAAAAACTTCGCGAAGACTTAAGCTGTCAGACGTTTGTGACCACGGGAATTTACTTGGAAGATCTTTGAAGTGAACTGGGAGCAAACGTGCCATGGACAAAACACCCTTAGCTTTGGACGATCCATACAATAGGCATTTTAACACACGTTGGCATAGGTGTCCTTTTTGGTTGTTTTGGTACAAAAATAGATGGCCCTGGTTTACCTGGTGGTTTCATCATCTACCAGGGCCATCTATTTGCCCTAAAAGGACACCTATGCGTGTTGGCAATTGAAAGGCACTGAGCTTTTGTTGTTGTGGAAATCCTGCAAAGCGGGTTGGCCAAATGAAGGAACCTTTGACACTCCCTGATTCAAATAAGTGCCTTCCTTTCAGACAGGATGAGACATGACAAGCTCGCTAAAACTCGTGCCAACATTTGGGGTAGCCCTGGGCAAGAATGTGTTTGCCCTAGGGTTCAACCCCCCTTAAAAGAATGGCGGACCCAATGTAGATGATGAACATCCTCAAGCAAACAATGTTGTTGTTGTTTCCCCCCTCATTGTTTCAATGGCTGTTTGAATCCCAGGCTTTGCTTTTCCCGACAGAAATGGGCTACGGTCCTTTTGTTCCCTCCAGCCGCTTCGCGCGCATTTTGACATAACTTCGGTGCATTTTGCTTGGATGTTAGGACTCTAACCTTTTGCCAACCAATGGGTGTTTCCATTAAACCACTAAAAGTTAAGCTTTTAGCAGGGGAGCAGAAAGCAACCGAGATAAGGGACGCGTCTCAGAGTGCGGAAATTTCTGGCTCATCAGTGCCATTGCTCCACATTTTTCTGCTCGTGCACATTATTTGGGTCAAAATGAATCCATGGATGCTCCTGTCGCTCCGAACATGCCCCTTTGGGCCACTGGTCTGAGAAAAGCGTTGCTTTATTTTCACCTCCCAACTGATTTCCACTTAGGGTATGGGTCAAAATTAAACCAGGACATGGACCGCAGGTTTTAGTCCATGTTTCCATTTATCAGGGCAACCCATTTTGGGCACCTATTTTTGACCCACTGCCATTTGTGTAGCATATAAAGATATTGTACATATTATATATATATATATACATGGTGTTTGTATATTTGTATTTACATACATGTGGCCAACTGCCCCAAGCTCAGCATGAGTTTGGAAGCAGCATCAAGTGCTGCTGGTGCTCAAAACTGCATCACCCAACACAGTTTGTGATGCATAGTACGACATTGTAAAAATGCTATATAATGGCAGAATGTAAGGTACACCATTGCAAAGGTACCAACACGTAGCACTACAAGATACCTTGGTATGGCACTGTAAAGATTAAGAGGCCCACAATAGAACCGGCTGAAACTTTTTGATCAGACGCAGAGTGTACAGCTGTGAGGAGTAAAATTAGCATCTACTCGCGTGAGGTTTTTTCGCTTTGTGTCGACCCCTGGTAACTTCTATTCGGATTCGGGAATTTGAAGGAGCGAGCTGCCTTCTTTCACTGGATGTTGTCGAAGCTAGGGACCATAGGTGCATTTCAGACCCGATTTGCCAGAAAGGATCGGCCGTCATTTCGAACACAAGGCCAAAAAGGGGGTTCCCATAGGTGTCCTTAGGTTAGTTTGATTCTCAATAGATGGGTTCCACTGGTTTAGATTGGTTTGCTTCCATTCACAGGGGCGATCGGCTCAGGTCGCTCACCGCAAGGCGGGAGATGGTCAACTCGATGGTGTCCAAGGGAAACTTGCGAGGAAACCCACTTCATGGGTGGGGGGGTGAGAGGGTGGGGGTGTGGGGGAGCATGTTGCCAACCAGATTGGAGATGTAGTTTTTTGCGCAACAGGTCGTTTCCCTTTTGCTTTCGGTAGTTCACAGAAGCCAGCGTAAGGCAAGCATAAATACGGGTGTGCGACGGGCTGGCCACGTCCTACTCCCTTCCTGGACTCTTACACCTTTTGGTATGACCATTTTAGCGGCAAGCAACAAGCATAGGTGTCCCTTTTGGTTGCTTTGGTAGAAACATAGATGGCGATTCCTGGTTTCCTTGGTGTTTCATGATGTACCAGGGCTATCTATTTGCCTTAAAAGGACACCTATGGCAACAAGTTTTCACTTTTTTCTGGCCAACCCACTCAGGAAGTGAGGCTGCCAAAGTGCACTTCGCGTATTGGAAAGGAAGCGCCGTCGCGCTGTCGCGTAAGCCGCCTTCCCAGCAATGGCAGGGGCTGCCTCACGCACACTTGAAGCCCATGCGCACGAGCCGAAACATGGGTTGCGTAAGGTACTCGCAAGTCACTGATACGGCATAGCGAACGACAGGTTTTGGACATGGAATCTGCTGTGTTCGTCAGTCCTCTTGCGGTCCTCTTGTATCCGTTTTGGTACTCCTTGCCTCCCTCCTGACAACTTCATCAGGGGATCAGACACCGCACAGCCCAGTTTGGTTTACCATCCTTCATCCGTGCAACAAACCCTGTGAAGTTGTTTCCGACAGAGGTGCATAGTCGGACCAAGTGATCAACTGGTCCGCTTTGAGTTCAGTTTTAGCTCCCAAAAGGTGTTCACCTTTGATTCCCAAGGCAAGCGAGCAATTCGTTTCATGGTCTAAATAAGTACTAGCTCACTCCTATAGTGTTTAAAGTGATCCACAACTGGTTCCAATATGAGGACTATGCTGAGCTCATTATAGTACCACCTCTTTGACAAGGCCAAAGGTGACTTTTGCCTGTGGAAGGCATCGCTTTCTGGGGCTTTTTAATTTTTTTACGTGGACGGCCTACGGCGGGATACTGTTTCAAGGAATGGACGCCACATGGAACCAGGTACCGTCCAGAGCGTTGGTTGGAATGCCCTCTACCCTAATCTCACAAAAGCTCAATGCGAATCGACCTCTCAAAAGACCTTTTGCGGGGAGCCCATGTTCGTCCATAGTCAGCGCTCCAAAAGCTGATATGTTTGTTCCGTCTGTTTTTTTTTTTCTCGGTTTTTGCATGAGAACACAGCTTGCAACCATCCTGGTGGGAATCTATCTGTACCTATTGGTTGGGTATGCGTGGCACGCCCGCCCGTCCGCCCGTTTGTGTCTGTTTTTTGTAGAAGAGTTAGACTCCACCGGTCTTGGCGTGATTTTTGAACCCCCCAAAAGGCACCTAAGGGACCCTTGGGGACCTCATACATTCATTTTCCCTGGAGAGGCAATGTTTGAAAAAGGGGCGGAACAAAACGCTGGTGTTCCCAGTCGGGGTCTGGATGTGGTAGTGCTGGCCCTGGTCTTTGTGTTTGGGGTGACCCTTTGGGTGGTTGTGAAAGGAGATGCAACAGGGAAGCCCACCCTTTGAGCGGTCAGGGCGGCAAACCTCAGGAACAAAATGTGGCATAGGAATGTGAGCCCCAGAAGAATGGCTTGCGGATTTACCAACCAAGAGGGAACATCTCAGCTTCGTTTTTCCTTTCACAGGGCAGTGGTCGGGGCGTCCTTTGAGCACTACTTGCCATGCATGGCCCCAGGCAATGCTTTCGCAGATGCCTACCCTGCCTGAGCCACTGAAAAGGCATCAAAATGCCAAAATATGAATGTGTTTGACACATGAAACCCACAGCTTTAAAAGAATGCAATCACGAATCAAATGACGTCAAGGCGAGACTGTCTCATCTTCAGCTCGCCAGGCCATCACATGACAAATCTTTGCGAAGGAAAGGTGCAGTGTCAATGAATGAACTAAGCAGAGTAAAACTACATGTTTGATGACACACATCCGGATTATCAGCAACACAGTAGTGATGTTCATAAGTAGCAGTTGATCCAGACGCAAAATGTGTGTTGTGCAGCTACTGGTGGTTTGCTGATTTTAGATGTGAGTGACGGACAATATCACAGGGGTATCTGCTTGGAGCGTCTCCCATCAGTTTTGCAGGTCGGCGGGTATTGGTTTGGAGTGCTGCTGTGTTTGTTTGCCAGATGCTCGTTCCTTGGGCAGCCCGCCGTTTTGTCAGACTATGACACAACTACACCGCAGGCTGCATACAGGCACACGCCGTCTGGACGTTGAAGCCCTACTGGCTGGCCGAGTTTAAAAGATCTTGGCTGGTCGGGGAATGATAGCCATGCTTACATGCACCAGCGTGTCAATTCAACTAACCTCCCCGCATTCAACTAACTCAGCATGGCACCCATTGAACCCTGATGAGAGGTACCTGGGTCCCCCAGTAGTGCCCTTCTCTCCCCTTTCTTGGTTGGGAGTTCCCCCTACAGACTACAGAAAAAGGCTGGTACCCTTATTCTAACCTGTCTACTGAAAAACCTAGGTACCCTTGTTTCCCTTCTTTAGATTCCGCGCGCGGTTGCCATGCTCATGCGGCAGATCTGGCCGGGCTTGGCATCGTTTTTTGCCGTGGCGTTCGCTGATGGTGAGCTCGTTGCGGCGACGGAGTGCAATCCCTACCAGGGCACCAGGTACATCACCTTAGGCGGGAACCCATGGCTGGAGGACTGAACAATGTTTAGGGCTCAAACTTGGCTTTGAGGATGGTTAAGGTTAACTGGGTGTGTTTCTTCTTAGGAGACCCCAAAATGGATTTCGGTTTTCCTGTTGGTGTCCCTTTCATTTCCATCCAAAAAGGGGCGCCGAGGCTCAAAAGAAGCCTCCCACATTTTTGAGGTGATTGGCCCAAAGAGTCCAGGTGTGCTCTTCGAAGCAGATTGAATCCTGCTTTCCACTTTGGAGCGATGCAGTACTTCCTTCGGTTTTTTCAATAGGAGTTTGCTTTGTACAGTCGCTATTGTAATAGGAGTTTGCTTTGCATATAGTCGCTATTGTAGTTGTTCCAGTCATTCCCTTTTTCAGAGTCTGAACTAGGGAGGGTTGGCCGAGCCTCTCTTTTGAACAGCTCTGTTTGCTGTCACTTAAAGATCTTATTCATTGGGATCGGATTGGGTATGCTGCGACTCTTAGCTACGCTTGAATCGAGGTCTGCTTGCTTTTGCGCTGAGTCGGCCGGGATTGAATTTCAATCCTTCGGGGGCGGGGGGTGTTGATTCGCATTGGTTTGGAAGGCCGTTTCTTCAACCCACTCGATTCCCCTCTGGTCCGCCCGCCCTAGGGGATCTTTTTTAAGGGAAGTTAGGTTGCTCTTCGTATCGCAAGTGAGTCCCACCCGTTGGCCTAGCTTCCATTCACTTGATTGAATCGCTTGAAAGACTCGTTCCGGCCAGGCAATGGCGACAGCATCACCTCCGCTGTGTGCGAAGCCAGTTGGGACCTTCATGAGTTGTCGGTCTTTGACGAGTTTGGCTTTGAGATCACCAGCATTACGGCTTCTGCACCCACAGGAAGCTCTTCGCCGACATCCGACTATGGACCACAGAAGGCTGAAAGCTTTGACGTCGGCCGAAATTGAGTTTTTGGTTGCCGTGACTCCAGTAACAGAATACTCTGCCTGGAAAAGGCTTGGGAAAAATCGTCAATCTGCAATGTTTTGTTTGGAACAATGCAAGGGGAGGCGACTTCGTACGTCAGGAAAAGAAAAACACATCGCAATGGTCTTCTGCCGCAGGCCGATTGTGATTGTTATTTCATTGCCTGGCACTTGCAATGTGTGCAAAGGTTTGCCTTACGCACGAGGCTGCCGTGCTTTGCTTTCGTCTTGTGTTTGAGCTAATGACGTGCTCTCTGTCAGAAAATGCTGGTGCATATGTCTGGAAGGGCAGTGCTGCAAAACAAAATGGAACTGAGCTGCAGGAGCGCCCAAGGTTCCTTGATGTCAGAGCATTTTCAAGCACTTCGACACTCCACATTCCTTTTACGGTGAGAAAGTCATTGCCATGTCTGGGGGCGAATTGGATTCGTTTTTGTCAGGCAATATTAGCCGTGGGCGAAGACACCCCCCAAATCCCAAAGATTTGGCAAAAGGTCCACCGACATTCCTTGGCCTTGGTGGCCAGACAAGCTGTCATAAAAAACATTTTGAACTATGATCAAAAGCCACCTTTTGTGAAAGAAGCTTGATTGAAACGTGAAACGGAGGTGTTTGACGATGTATTGAGGTACCCGCTAGTGATTGAAACATCTCGGCTCACACGGCTATGATCGGCAATTTGTTGCAAAGGCACATGAAAGCAAAGACGTGTCCGAGTCGGAAATGAGCCTGCCTAGAGCGATTGCTCCTGTCGCTTTAAACAACGATCAGTCTGTGTTTTGCGTTAGGTTTTCAAACGCCACAGGAATAGACCAACAAGTTTCCTGAAGGGACCACCATGCTCCCTCTATGATGGAATGTCTCGTTTGTTGTTGCTCCTTTGACGAATGAGCAGGCGTTGGATGGCTTGCTGACGACTTTCTGGGCAGGGGACCACGATATTGGAGCGAGCTGTTCCTGCTGGGATGATTCCAAGAAGGATTCCCAGCAGATCCTTCTCGACCTGAAACAGACGTACCTCGGTGGCTCCCAGCCATCCCCTTAGTTTGTTTAATCTTTATTGTGTTTAGTGGGGGGGGTTCATGCAACCCAGCAAAAGTGAGCGAGGGATGTGAGAAGAGCCCAGGTACAAAGTCTCCAAGATCAACATTTGGCAGGGTGGCGCCGGAAACAAGTGGGCCATCTCTAAACTTCGCATTCACTGCCACAGCGCGGGGCTAGTCACGAGCCCTGTAGAGTTGGAGATCTCCAGTGGCTCGACCACCGTCGAGTGCGACGATGCGGGCTGCCGTGCCATTGACCACAATCCCGCCTTCGTGCATAGATCTGCGGCTTGTGCCGCGAGCACGGCCGGCCAACTCGGTGTGCCTGTCGGCTTGCTGCTGGGGCTGGGTTTAGTCCAGCGCAACCTGCTGCTGAGAGGGGAGCGTTCTTGGAGCTGATGGTCCAACGGTTCCAAGATCATGGCCTGCAACTTTATAAGACAGATATGTCAGGGAGAACTCGAAAACACGGCGCTTGGCCAAGCCACGGCGTGTTTCAGACTTCCCCGGTTTCGCGCCGCAGATGTTCGACATTTGCGCCGCAGATCTTTGGTTCCAAAGTCCTGATCCCTCGGACCGGCCTGGGAGCCTCGACGGCCATGGCTGGGGAAAACGCCGTCGGAAGCCAAGGGCTGGAAAACCAAAAACTTTTGAGCGCGGGGTCAAGATTTGTTGCGACCTCCTGCGGGTTCCGGTACAATGTGTTGTTGGGCATTCTGTTTGCCAGATGCTCATTCATGGGCAGACCGCAGTTTTTGCAGACTCTGACACAACTACACCGCAGTGTGCTGTGCAAGAGGTGCCAGCCGTCAGCAATGATCATGAATGAGGCCATTGAAGTTTGAAGCCCTACTAGCCGGCCGCCAAAGTTAATAGATCTTGGCTGGTCGGGGAATGATAGCCATACTTACATGCACCAGCGTGTCAATTCAACTAACCTCCCCGCAGTCAACTAACTCAGAATGGCACCCATTAAACGCTGATGAGAGGTACCTAGGTCCCCCAGTAGTGCCCTTTCTCACCCCTTTTTGGGTTGGGAGGGTTCCCGCTCAAATAGACTACAAATAAAAGCTGGTTCCCTTATTCTAACCTCTCTGCTGGAGGACCTAGGTACCCTTGGTTCCCTTCCTTTTTCTGCCGCGCGCGGTTGCCATGCTCATGCGGCAGATCTGGCCGGGCTTGGCATCGTTTTTTGCCGTGGCGTTCGCGGATGGTGAGCATGACACGGCGACGGAGTGCAATCCCTACCAGGGCACCAGGTATATCACTATAGGCGGGAACTCATGGCTGCAAACTTGGCTTTGAGGAGGGTCAACTGGGTGTGTTTCTTCTGAGGAGACCCCAAAATGGATGTTGGTTTCCCTTTTGGGTTTCCATTGGGTGCCGAGGCTCAAAAGAAGGCACCCAAAGGGCTTCAGAACATTTTTGAGGTGGTTGGCCCACAAAATCCAGGTGTGCTCTTCGAAGCAGATTGAATCCTGCTTTCCACTTTGGAGCGATGCAGTACTTCCTTCGGTTTTTTCAATAGGAGTTTGCTTTGTACAGTCGCTAGTGTAATAGGAGTTTGCTTTGCATATAGTCGCTATTGTAGTTGTTCCAGTCATTCCCTTTTTCAGAGTCTGAACTAGGGAGGGTTGGCCGAGCCTCCCTTTTGAACAGCTCTGTTTGCTGTCACTTAAAGATCTTATTCATTGGGATCGGATTGGGTATGCTGCGACTCTTAGCTACGCTTGAATCGAGGTCTGCTTGCTTTTGCGCTGAGTCGGCCGGGATTGAATTTCAATCCTTCGGGGGCGGGGGGTGTTGATTCGCATTGGTGCGGAAGACCGTTTCTTCACTCGATTCCCCTCTGGTCCCCGCCCTACGCGGCAGCACTTTCTCATAATCTCGTGCTGCTTGCGATTGTGTGCGGCTAGGGGATGTTTTTTTCAGACCATAGGTGTCCATTTTGGTTGTTTGGGTAGAAAAATAGATGGCCCTGGTTTACCTGGTGTTTTAATCATCTACCAGGGCCATCTATTTCCCCTAAAAGGATACCTATGTTTCAGACTTGCATCGGAAAGTTAGGTTGCTCTTCGTATCTTGGCAAGTCCCACCCATTGGCCTAACTTCCTGGAATCGTTTGAAAGACTCGTTCCGGCCAGGCAATGGCGACAGCGTCACCTCACTTGATTGCAAAGCCAGTTGGGACCTTCATGAGTTGTCGGTCTTTGACGAGTTTGGCTTTGAGATCACCAGCATTACGGCTTTTGCACCCACGGGAAGCTCTTCGTCCAACTATGGACCAGAGAAGGCTCAAAGCTTTGACATCGGCCGAGATTGAGGTTTTGGTTGAGAACACCTTCAAATAAATTGTCGTGACTCCAGTAGCAGAATACTCTGCCTGGAAAAGGCTTGGGAAAAGTCGTGAATCTGCGATGTTTGGAACCATGCAAAAGGGGCCTGGCCGCGGTCCGCGAATAAGAGGAATACTTTGCCTGATTGACGGGGTGGTTTCTCAATGGAATGACTTTGCGGCTTCGTCCTCGGGAATAGCTGCGGAACATGTCGCAAGGGTCTCCTGCCGCAGGTCGATTGTGATTTTCATTTCATTACCTGGCACTTGCAATGTGTGGTGCAAAGGTTTGCCTTAAGCACGGGGCTGCCATGCTTTGCTTTCGTCTTGTGACTTGTTTCAGCTAATGACATGCTCATGTCTGGAGGCGAGTTGGATTCGTTTCTCTCGGGGAATGTTTGCTGTGGGCCAAGACAACCCCAATCCCAAAGATTAGGCCCAAGGTGCAGCCCCTACCAGAAGAGAAGCTCCTTTGTGCGTGAAACCAACCGACATTCCTTGGCCTTGCATGGCCAGACAAGCCGTCAGAAAGACATTGCGAAGTACGATCAAAAGCTTCCGAAACGGAGGTGTTTGATGATGTACTGAGGTACCCGCTAGTGTCTCCAAACACCTCACAGCTCACACGGCTAGGATCGGCAAGTTGTTGCCGAGGCACATGAAAGCAAAGACGTGTGCGAGTCAGAAACGAGCTTGCATAGAACGATTGCCTCTGTTTCTGTAAACAATGAGCAGTACCGTTTGGCCTAGGGTGTTCAAATGCCACAGGGATAGACCAACAAGTGTCCTGTAAGGACCACCGTGGTCCCTCTATGACAGAAGGTGTCGTTTGTTGTTGCTCCTTTGACAAATGAGCAGGCATTGGACGGCTCGCTGACGACTTTCTGGGCAGGGGACCACGATATTGGAGCGAGCTGTTCCTGCTGGGATGATTTCAAGAAGGATTCCCAGCACATCCTTCTCGATCTGAAACAAACGTACCTCGGTGGCTCCCGACCATGTTCTTGTTTTTTGTGATAGTGGGGGGGGTTGATTCAACCCAGCAAAAGTGCAGAGACCAGGTACAAAGTCTCCAAGATCAACATTTGGCAGGGTGGCGCCGGAAACAAGTGGGCCATCTCCAAAATTCGCATTCACTGCCACAGCGCGGGGCTAGTCACGAACCCTGTAGAGTTGCAGATCTCCAGTGGCTCGACCACCGTCGAGTGCGACGATGCGGGCTGCCGTGCCATTGACCACAATCCCGCCTTCGTGCATAGATCGGCGGCTTGCGTTGCGAGCAAAGTCGGCCAACTCGGTGTGCCTGTCGGCTTGCTGCTGGGGCTGGGTTTGGCCAGCGCAACCTGCTGCTGAGAGGGGAGCGTTCTTGGAGCTGATGGTCCAACGGTTCCAAGATAAGGGCCTGCAACTTCATAAGACAGATGTCAGGGAGGGTGTTTGAGCTCAAAGAACTCGAAACATGCGGTTGGCAAAGCCACGTGTGTTTCAGAATTTCCGGCCGCAGATGTTTGCCATTTGCGCCGTGTGCTTTGGTTCCAAAGTCCAGAACACTCTCGGACCACTCTTTTTCCCACGTCGTCCGCCTTCGGGGTTGGGGCGCCGTCGGCAAGACTTTCCGACTCGGAAAAGGATGCCCTAGAATAAGCCAAGGGCCTGGGGAAAACGCAACTTTTCAACGTGGGGTCAAGATGTTCCTTTTGCGACTGAATCCTGCTGGTTACTAGTGGAAAAGAAGGGCAAGGCCATTCTGTTAGTGGGTTCTGTGTGCGGTGTTTGTTTGCCAGATGCTTGTTCCCATAGGCAGCCCACAGTTTTATCACAGACTGACACAACTACACCGCAGGGTGCTGCAGACCAGGCACCAGCCGTCAGCAATGATCATCCCTAGCCGGCCAAATGTAATAGGTCTTGGCTGGTCGGGGAATGATAGCCATACTTACATGTACCATATTCCTTTGTAATCAACAAACCCAGCATGGCACACATGAAACGCTGAAGCGAGGGACTCTTCGTTCCCTGCGTTTTTCTTCCGTGCGCGGGTGCCATGCTCCGGCAGATGTGGATGGCATTGGCATCGTATTTTGCCGTGGCATTTGGTGATGCCGAGCCTGGCAGCACTACCTCTTCGAGCACCATGATGCTTGACACAGGGACGGACTGCAATCCCTACCAGGGTACCAGGTACATCACTTTAGGCGGGAACCCGTGGCGGACTGAACAATGCTCAGGGGGCTGTGGCTTTGAGGGGTCTGACTTCCCCCCAAAAGGGGAACGCCCAAATGACTCTCACATGGCTGTGGCCCAAAAAACCGGAATTCCAAAATGGGTTGCCCTGGTAAGTGGAAACATGGACTTCAAAACCCGCGGTTTGTCCCTCCGATCGTTTGATTTTGAGCCACACCCACATCTTTGAGCTTGGCCCAACGTCTAGACGTAGGCCCTTCGGCCTTCGGCCCCGGATGTCTTCGTTGGTTTTTACCGCACCAGAGCGGTGGTCTTGATTCTCAAAACCCCTTTCTATAGTCATCTCTTGTAGTCATTCGATTCCGGAGTAGGTTGGCCAACTCCCGGTTTTGAACAGCTCCATTTGCTTGTTGCTTCAAGATTTTAATGATTGAGATTTGGTATGCCGCGACTCTTGTCACGAAAACTAGCTATGCGAGCATTGAGCTCTCATTGCTTTAGAAGGGATTGCTTTCAATCCACGAGGCTTCGAATCCCCCTGCTTGCGATTGCGGCTATGGGGGTCTTGTTCACAAAGTTCGCGCCTTATGGACTTGCGGGATGTTGATAGGTTGCGATTTTGAATATTCTTATGTTGGCCTAGCTTGTGCTCCCCTGCTTGAATTTGATGTGCCAAAACTGACGGTGGGCGGTTGGAGCACACCTGCGTTTCCAACATTCCCTCTGGCCAGGCAATGGCGACAGTGTCACCTCGACTGTGTGCAAAGACAGCTGGGACCTTTATGAGGTGGCGGTCTACGACGACCAAAACCAGGAGATCACCGGCGTTACGGCCACTGCACCCACGGGAAGCGCTCCGCCTAACACAGGATATGGGGGCGACTATGAACCATATCAGGCTCACCGAAAGCTTTGATATCGGCCGAGATTGACTTTTGGGTTCAGAACAAGTTCAAAATGTTGACCAATCAGGCTGCAAAACCTTTTGGAAGAGTTATGAATCTTCCATGTATTGTTTAGAGTCACTGTGCAAGAGGAGGCTGGCGTATGTGTTATATATATATATAAATATATACTTGAGAGCCTCCGGCTCAGTCCGACGACGGCAAGGTCCGGCCCGAGAGACTGGCTTTTGGGCGACGCGCACAGGCCAAGCACAATGGAGCGGCATTATTCCTTCAAGCGTTGAAGCACGCATGTCACCTTGTTGTTCCCCTCGGGCACGTTGTCTCAGCCATGGAGCTGTTGCGAGCAGCTTCTGTGCCGGGCGCTGTGAGGTTTTCTGCTGGCACGGAGCGTCCCGTGTTTGGAGTGAAAGAGCACGGGCACAGTGCGCCCTGGCAAGGAAGCAGCTTGACATCCTCTCGAAAAGACCCCCTCACGGCTGCGTTGCTTTTGAGTTGGGAGGTCGCCGTTCTCACTCCTTCGCATAGGGTAGAAGTCCAACCCCCGGTTGTCTCCGGCGTTAGATGGAACACGAAATAGGGTCTTCAAATTGGTCGGCCGGGCTGGCAGTAACGCTGGCGGAGGTAGTGTAAAGTCTATGTTGACCTATTTAAGTGTCCGGGTGTTCAAGTGGCGACACTGTACGTTTAGTAGAACGTCATCAAATTACCGCGCGGTGGGCGAGGCCGTAATTGACGTGTCCCGGGGCACTAAGGGGGGTTATCCCCTATCCTCTCTTAGGTGTCCGACACGCCGAACAATGTCGGCGGAAATATGTATATATGTTATTGTGCAGACATAAGTCGGAATACTTGACGGGTGATGTCACATTGGAACTCGATTTTGCGGCTGCGCTGCTCGGGATAACTGCGAAAAAAAGCCACAACGGTCTTCTGCCGAAGGTCGATTGTGGTTGTGTTTCATTGTTTGGCACTTGCAATGCGTTGTGCAAAGGCTTGACGAGGCGCTGCCATGTCAAATCTCTCGTTTGACATCTTTGGAAGGGCAGTGCTGCAAAACAAGAGTGGATTGAGCTACAGGAGCGCCAAGGTTTCCTGATGCCAAAGCATTTCCAAGCACTTCGGCACTCCACATTCCTTCTACGCAAAGAAAATTATTGCCATGTCTGGGGGCAAATTGGATTTGCTTTTCTCGGACTATATGTACTGTGGGCAAAGACACCCCTCTGAATCCCAAAGATTAGTCGCAAGGTGCAGCCCCTACAAGAAAAAAAGCTCCCTTGTGCATGAAATCCACCGACATTCCTTGGCCTTGGATGGCCAGACAAGCCGTCAGAAAGACATTTCGAGGAGTTTGACGATGTATTCAAATACCCGCTAGTGTTTTCAAACACCTCGGCTCACACGGCCATGCTCGGCAAATTGTTGCGAAGGCGCATCAAAGCCAAGACGTGCGCGAGTCGGAAACAAGCTTGCGTAGAACGATTGCATTTTTGTTTCTTTCTACAACGGGCAGTGTACGTTTGGCATCAGGTGGTCAAACGCCACAGGAATAGACCAACAAGTTTCTTGAAGGGACAGCCATGGTCCCCCTATGATAGAAGGTGTCGTTTGTGGTTGCTCCTTTGACGAATGAGCAGGCATTGGACGGCTCGCTGACGACTTACTGGGCAGGGGACCACGATATTGGAATGAGCTGCTCCTGCTGGCATGCTTCCAAGAAGGATGCCCAACAACTCCTTCTCGACCTGGGGTCTTCGCAGAAAGTCTCCAAGATCAACATTTGGCAGGGTGGTGCCGGAAACAAGTGGGCCGTCTCTCGCCTTCGCATTCACTGCCACAGCGCGCAGCTCAATGCGAACCCTTTAGAGTTGGAGATCTCCAGCGGCTCCACAACCATCGAGTGCGACGATGTGGGCTGCCGCGCCACTGGCCACAATCCCACCTTCGTGAATAGATCAGCGGCTTGCGTCGCCAGCAAAGCTGGCCACGGTGTGCCTGTCGGCTTGCTCCTGGGGCTGGGGCTGGCCAGCGCCTGCTGCTGGTGAGCCCGCCGACTTCTTGGAGCTGATGATCCAACGGCTCCAAGAGCCCAACTTCGAAAGACAGACTGGCAGTCACAAAGGAAGCATGTAGCTCAAGGATCTCACAGGCACACAGTTGGCGAAGCCACGGGTGTCTAGTATTTCCGGCCGCAGAGTTTTGCCACTTAAGTCGACAGTGCCCCAAGACCCAGGCACTCAGCGAACACCCGTTTCCCCCAAGCGCGGGCACGCGCTTGCTGCCGTTCCGGCGGCTTCAGCCCGCTAAACGCGGTGAATCTCGCCGAGGGCAAGGCTTGCCAACGCGGAAACAGCGCGGCCCTAAGACACGCCAAGGGTGAGGACAGCCCAGAACGGAACCTTTGAACGTGGGTGGGGTCAAGATGTTCCCTTCGTGACTGAATGGCAAGGTGACCTTCATGCGAAGGTGCAATGTGTGGTTGTTGAGTGTTCTGTCTGCCAGATGCTCAAGCAATGATCATGAATAAGGCCATTGGACGTTGAAGCCCGAGCCGGCCAGCTGGTTGGGGAATGAGAGCTACACTTAACATGTACCAGCGTGTCAGTTCGGTGAGCCTTGCGTCGCAATCATATGCATCTGTAGTCAACTAACCCAGCATGGCAGACATAGGTAGTCTTGGTTCCCTTCTTTGCTTCCGCGCGCGGATGCCATGCTCACGTGGCAGATGTGGCTGGGCTTGGCATCGTATTTTGCCGTGGCGTTTGGTGATGGCGAGCCTGACTGCAATCCCTACCAGGGTACCAGGTACATCACTTTAGGCGGGAACCCATGGCTGAAGGACTGAAAAGCAAATTTGGCTTTGAGGATTGTGAAATGGGTGGGGTCTTCCTTTGCCCTCACAAATGGCTCTCACATTTTTGAGGTGGTTGGCCCAATGTCTGTTCGGGGCCTAACAAACTCGGCGTTCCACGCCAATGAAACATATTTGACGAGCAGGGCTACCATTTTCGTTGGCGTTGGCAATGCGAAGTAAGAATTTGGTTCCTTGAGAACTATACTCTCAAAACGGCACCAATCAAACACCGCCCGAGTTCCATGTTAGAGCAGGGCTGCTAAGGCAGCCCAAAACTCGCCAGGGCTGGAAGCGCCTAGCGTTTGCCGCCAGTTTCCGAAACCTGCTGCCTCACAGCAGGGTGGAGCTGACTAGGTGACTAGGTCCGCCAATCTTAATCTCACTCTTACACACAGCTTCGAGCCAAGTTTTAAGAGGCTGCATGCGTGCGTGAGCGGGTGTGCTTTTACCAACTGGCTGGCGCGTGTGCGCTTGGCTGGCGTGTGCGCGCGACGGGTCCTTCCAAATTGGCTGCTGTGTGTGCAGCTGGCTAGCGTGCGCGGGTGAGCGTGTGCAATTTAGTGTGAGCAGGCTGGCGGGCGCACGTGAGCGGGTGTGCTTACCAAGCGGGCGTGAGCGCGCTGGGCTGGGGAACGCGCTTGGCTGAGTTGAAGCGCGAGTGGATGTGCTGGCGGGGGCGTGGTGTGCCCACCAATTGGCTGATGTGTTCTCAGTGGGCTGGCGGGCGCGCGTGCTGGCGTGGGGGCAAGCTGGCGTTGGTTTGTGCGCTTACAACCTGCGTGTGCGCGGTTGGCTGGGGGGCGCACGTGAGTGGATGTGCTTATATATGCTGTCGGCAAGCGGGTGCGCGTGAGCGGGCTTACGGGGCGCGCGTGAGTGGAGGCGCTTACACCATCAGCTGCAGTCGGCTGGCGGGCGCGCGTGCTGGCGTGCGAGTAGGCTAGCATGTTCGCATGAGCGGGTGTGCTTACCAAGTGGCTGGCGTGCGTGCGGTTGACTGGGGCACGTGAGTGTGTGCTTGGGGCGCACGTGAGTACCGTCAGCTGGCGGGAGCGCGTGAGCGGGTGTGCTTACCAATTGGCTAACATGTGTCCGGCGCGCGTACTGGCATGCTAGATAGCATGTTCGCGTGTGCTTACCAAGTGGCTTTGGCTGGGGCACGTGAGTGTGTGCTTACGGGGCGCGCGTGAGTACCAGCAGCTGGCGGGAGTGCGTGAGCGGGTGTGCTTACCAATTGGCTAACATGTGCCCATTGAGCTGGCGTGTGTGCAGTTGGCTGGCGGGCGCGCAGTTGAATAATCCTTCCTTCTGGTTCCTAGCCTCTGCCACACGTGTGCAATTGTTGGCGGCTGGGTTGCTTTCACTAAGTTCGGGTATTGACTTGCTGGGTGGTGATGTTGCTGTTCTGAATGCTCTTATCTTGGCAACCGCGTCTGTTGGCCTAGCTTTCGCTCCTGTTTGACTTTGATGTGTCAAGACTGCCGGTCGCAGTCGAAGCACACCTGCGGTTAAAACACTCCCTCCGGCCAGGCAATGGCGACAGCATCACCTCGCCTTTGTGCAAAGACAGCTGGGACCTTCATGAGGTGGCGGTCTACGACGACCAAAACCAGGAGATTACCGGCATTATGGCCACTGCACCGACAGGAACCGCTCCGCCAAACGCAGGACGCGACTATGAACCATATCAGGCTCACCCAAAGGTTTGAGATCGGCCGCGGTTGACTCTTTGGTCGAGAGCAAGTTCAAAATGTCGACTAGTTAGGCTGCAAAGGTTTAGGAAGAGTTATGAATCTTCGATGTGTTCTTTAGAGTCGCCGTGCAAGAGGAGGCTGGCTGCGTCCCCTGAGCAGCTTCCTATGTATATGCATGCCTATATCGGAGTCACACGCAATAACATACCTGATTGAAGCGAGTGTTGCGCAATTTTCACATTGGATGACTTGCTTCAGCTGCATAGCTCGGGATAGCCGAACATTCCTCAATTGTCTTCTGCGGTTGTCTTTCATTGCCTGGCGCATGCAATGTGTGGCGCAAAGGTTTGACAAAGCGCTACCACGCTTGTAAATGCGTTCGCGTAAGCCGTTGCCGCCAGACATGCCCAACGTTTCTTGACCTCAGAGCATTCAGTATTTAAAAGTTGTGATTTTCGAGCCGGAGCTGCCACGGACCAGGCGAGAATCGAACGCGCCCGCGTGATTTCGAAAGCAGGCGCGCGAACCGCAAGACAACTTGCAACTGCCACTGCGAGCAAAGAAAGTCAGAAACCTTGTCTTTTGCAGCAGGAGATGTGGGAGGGCGCTTCGCATACTTCTTTTGCACTTACTTGCTTGCGGTTTTTGAGCCGGGGGCGGGAAGCGGACCCGTGACCGCACGATTGCCGCGCAAACCGTTGCAGAGACCGTGCCGAGAGCGCTTCGATTTCCGCAGAGGGTTCCCCCAGGTCAAGACAAATTCGCACGGCGCCGCAGTGAGAGCGCTTCGATACGCGGGATGTGCGCAGAGGGTTCGCCGCACAAGCGCGATCTCCGCACAGGGTTCACCGCACTAAAGACAAGTTTGCACGGCGCCCCAGCGAGAGTGCTTTAACGCGCAAATCTCCGCAGAGGGTTCGCCGCGCCCAAGACAAGCTCGCACGCCGCCACAGCTAGAGTGCTTCGACACGCACGGTCTCCGCAGAGGGTTCGCCGAGACCAAGACTACTTTGCAGCAGCGGCAAGCGCACGACGTCCGCAGGCAAGTGAAGTAACTCTGGGAAAGTTGGCAGGGTTCTTCTGCTAACACGGCTGCAAACTAACATCTCCTGCCAACTCTTACTGAGCGCCGCTTCAACTGCCTCTGACAGCTTCTCGAGAGTTACTTCACCTGCTAACTTCTCACGCCAACTTTTTGAGAGGTGCTTGACCTGCCAACATCTCATGTGTGCTTCCGGGAAAAACGCATGCGCTCCACCGTGGGCATTTCGTGGCCTTGGATGGCCAGCCAAGCCCCCTAGTCTGCCAGAACATGTTGAAATACGCTGAAAAGCAGCTTGCAAAAGAAATCTTCGAAACGGAGGCGTTTTGACAATGTATTGAGCTGCCCGCTAGCATTTCAAACGACCGGGCTCACACGTCTATGATCGGCAAATTGTTGCCGAGTCGCATGAAGACTAAGACGTGTGCGAGTCGGAAATGATCCACTTGCCCAGAACGATTGCTCCTGATTCTTTAAACAACTGTCAGACTATTGCTGGCTTGAAGTTTGCAAGTACCACAAGAATAGACCAACCATTTCTTTGAAGCACCACCATGGTCGTGCGTCTGTTGTGGCTCCTGTGACGAATGAGCAGGTGTTGGACGGCTCACTGACGACTTTCTGGGCAGGGGCCCACGATATTGGAATGAGCTGCTCCTGCTGGGATTATTCCAAGCAGGATGCCCAGCACATCCTTCTCGACCTGGGGACTACGCAGAAAGTCTCCAAGATCAACATTTGGCAGGGTGGTGTCGGAAACAATTGGGCCATTTGGGCCGTCTCTCGCCTTCGCATTCACTGCCACAGCGCGCAGCTCAATGCGAACCCTTTAGAGTTGGACATCTCCAGTGGCTCGACCACCATCGAGTGCGACGATGTGGGCTGCCGTGCCATTGACCACAATCCCGCCCTCGTGAATAGATCAGCGGCTTGCGTCGCCAGCAAAGCCGGCCACGGTGCGCCTGTCGGCTTGCTGCTGGGGCTGGGGCTGCTGGCCAGCGCAGGCTGCTGAGCCCGCCGACTTCTTGGAGCTGATCCAACGGTTCCACGAGCCCAACTTCAAAAGACAGATGTCAGAGAGGATGTCTGCCCGAACCACTGGCATTCACAAAGGAAGCTTGACCTCAAAGGTTTGAAAGGTTGACAAAGCCACGCGTGTTCAGGATTTCCGACCGCGGATGTTTGCCATTTGCGCTGCTATGTGCTTTGGTTCTGACTCGCTGATGTTTTCGCGGGTGTCCCAAGACACTCAGCGAACACCCTGTTTCTCCCAACTGGGTGGACCTGCTTGCCACCGTGCCGGCGGTTTCAGCCTGCCTTGAAGGCATCGGCAATGCGCTGAAGACACGGAAAACCGCGAAGCCCAACGATAAGCCAAGGGCCTGGGGCTTTTTCGAAGCAACGGGGTCAAGATGTTCCTGTTGCGACTGAACCCTGCTGGTTCCGACTATTGGAAAAGGCAAGCCGAGCTTCATGCGAGGGTTCTGGATTGCGCAACTGATTGGGACACGGCGGCTTCCCTGTCGTTTTCTTCAAGTTAAAAATCAATAAGAGACACGCCATGGAATCCACAAGAGTTGCATCATCGTTGCTCACCCATCGAAGGCCGCGCACGGGTGTGGCGGGCAGCACAAAGCCTGCCACCTAGACGAAACCAGGCAGCGTCTCAGCTTCGCTCTTTTGATGGGATTTGGAGCGCTCCCCAAACTGGGCTTCGAACCCCCCAGAAAAACCAGCCACAAGTGGGGTCGTGCTTCTTGCTAGGACATTCTCACATACGGTACTTGGACCTGGGGGCTGATAAAATGCTGACCCTGTCTTAGGGCTACAGCAGCTCTTGTGGTTTATGTGGGTTGAAAAAGAAGCACCGCGCCTTTTCGTTCGGGGCACTTTCCGTAGCTTTCTCTCGCCCGGAACACTGCAAACCGATGCGGGAAAAACCGATACCCGAAGCCATGAAGACACATATCAGGTCCAAGGTGCAGCTGGCGCATGAGGAGGGCAATGACGTTTACGGAGCCTTCTGGTGACGTGGAAGTTCCCTGGCTGCGGGTTTCCCGTTGGTCGCCCTCCAATCCAATCCAATCCCAATCCAAGGTCCAAGGTGCTGCCGCAAACCAAGATCGCGAAATCATATATTTACAGGGCCCAAGCCGACACCCAAACCGATGCCCAACCCATACCCAACCGATACCCAACTCATTAGCCGCCCTGCCGGATCAAAACAGCTGCCATGGAGCTGTTGAAACGTACTTTGTGTAGCACACTTGTACTGAAAAATTGGCTTTTCCATGCGGAGCTGCCAAAATGTACTCCGTATACTGCACTATACACTTGTACTCAAAATTTGCGACTTTGCAGCCGGACCTGCCAAACTGTACTTTGTATATTACACCTGTACTGAAAATGTGCGACTTTCCAGCTGGAGCTGCCAGAGTGCACTCTATGCACTTGTACTGAAACGTCACGGCTTTTGAGCAAGAGCTGCCAAACGATGCAAGCCGATGCAGACGGAACGAACTCGATACTAACCGATATTCGGGTATAGGGGTTTCTTTTCCAGCCCATATGGGTGTGTGTGTTTTAGGGTACCCCCCAAAAAACAACGTGGTTTTGCTGTTGGTTTCCATTAAAGAAACATGCCCCTATGTTAATGGAAAACGAACTTGCCTCGAGATTCACTTAATTCTTCCCGTCATGACCGGGAGGGCCACAGCTTCCGGAGTATTCGCGCCCCCTGTACTTGCGGGTACAGTTGGGCGAGTACGTGAGTGCGGTGCTTGAAAGCGAAACCAAAATTTGAGCCAGACCCAAATGCTGAGGTCAATTCCTCCCCCTGTCAGTCGCCAGGCGCTAAGATTGAAAATCTCGAGGCTCAACACGGCGTGCGTTTATTTTTTGGCCTGGCCGCTTGCTGCCATCCTAAGATACATTTTGCCCTTTTCAGGCCACAACAAACAGGAGCTTTGGTTTGGTGTTTTAGACCTTAGGGGGCACCTTCCTCATTCGGTTTCAAAAGGTACTGCTTCAAATCCGCAAACCACCAATCCAAACCACCAATCCAAACCACCAATTAGGGGTTACCTGACCTTTGGTCTTTGTATTGCTGTTGTGTTGGCGTGAAGTGAATTGCAATCAGTGCCAGCTGTCGGGTTGGAACAATAAATCGGAAAAAGATTCAATCTTGCTCAATGTTCAAGGTAGCAACGGCCCAGGGAACAAAAGACAAGCTGGTTCCATCGCAGTTACCATGACTCCGGGTACATTAACGCATGTCGTAGCTGGCGAATCAAACCTCGCCAATTTGTCGAGTGTTGATGACAGTCGGAAAAAGGGGCCCAATTTTGTGCGTCTTGTGAAGATGTGAAGATGATCCCTTTCCATAGTGCAACATTCATTGATCCATCCCTGGTGTCGCTTGTATTTTCTGCTTAGGAGTTCGACCCACTGGCACTGGAGCCATGCGAAGAAGTTGCCCTCGCTTGGACATGTGGGGGTTGATCAAAAGGTCAGTGAGTGGGATCACCATTGCGGAAGCCGCCAAAAAAGATGATACTTCCCACATGGGAAAAGTTACCTTGGTCATTTGCGATGTGGGGGCCGAAGGGTTTTTTTGTTATCAACATGTAAACTGTGCGTCGCGAGCGCCGCGCCAACCCATCGCTTCGATTCGGAATGCGGGCGCTGGCTTAGGCAGCGGAAAGCACACGCCTCGAGAGAACTTGGGCGAAGAGGCGCGGCCATGGTACCTCACTCCCTGAGCTCATGGACCCGTTGCCACTTCTTGGGTTTGGAGCATTGTTGGCAAACAACAAGTTTGGTTACTTGTTTGGAGCATTTTTAGTGGCAAACAGCAAGTTTGGTTACTTGTTTGGAGCATTTTTAGTGGCAAACAACAAGTTTGGTTACTTGTTTGGAGCGTTTTTAGTGGCAAACAACAAGTTTGGTTGCTTGTTTGGAGCATTTTTAGTGGCAAACAGCAAGTTTGGTTACTTGTTTGGAGCATTTTTAGTGGCAAACAACAAGTTTGGTTACTTGTTTGGAGCGTTTTTAGTGGCAAACAACAAGTTTGGTTGCTTGTTTGGAGCATTTTTAGTGGCAAACAGCAAGTTTGGTTACTTGTTTGGAGCATTTTTAGTGGCAAACAACAAGTTTGGTTACTTGTTTGGAGCGTTTTTAGTGGCAAACAACAAGTTTGGTTGCTTGTTTGGAGCATTTTTAGTGGCAAACAGCAAGTTTGGTTACTTGTTTGGAGCATTTTTAGTGGCAAACAACAAGTTTGGTTACTTGTTTGGAGCGTTTTTAGTGGCAAACAACAAGTTTGGTTGCTTGTTTGGAGCATTTTTAGTGGCAAACAACAAGTTTGGTTACTTGTTTGGAGCATATTTAGTGGCAAACAACAAGTTTGGTTACTTGTTTGCAGCATTTTTAGTGGCAAACAGCAAGTTTGGTTACTTGTTTGGAGCATTTGTAGTGGCAAACAGCAAGTCTGGTTACTTGTTTGGAGCATTTTTAGTGGCAAACAACAAGTTTGGTTACTTGTTTTGTGCATTTTTAGTGGCAAACAACAAGTTTGGTTACTTGTTTGGAGCATTTTTAGTGGCAAACAACAAGTTTGGTTACTTGTTTGGTGCATTTTTAGTGGCAAACAACAAGTTTGGTTACTTGTTTGCAGCATTTTTAGTGGCAAACAGCAAGTTTGGTTACTTGTTTGGAGCATTTGTAGTGGCAAACAGCAAGTCTGGTTACTTGTTTGGAGCATTTTTAGTGGCAAACAACAAGTTTGGTTACTTGTTTGGTGCATTTTTGGTGGCAAACAACAAGTTTGGTTACTTGTTTGGGGCATTTTTAGTGGCAAACAACAAGTTTGGTTGCTTGTTTGGAGCATTTTTAGTGGCAAACAACAAGTTTGGTTACTTGTTTGGAGCGTTTTTAGTGGCAAACAACAAGTTTGGTTGCTTGTTTGGAGCATTTTTAGTGGCAAACAGCAAGTTTGGTTACTTGTTTGGAGCATTTTTAGTGGCAAACAACAAGTTTGGTTACTTGTTGCAGCATTTTAGTGCAAAACAGCAAGTGTGTTACTTGTTTTGGAGCAATTTGTAGTGGCAAACACAAGTCCTGGTTACATGTTTGAGCATTTTTAGTGGCAAACAACAAGGTTTGGTTTTCACTTGTTGGTGCATTTTTAGTGGCAAACAACAAGTTTGGTTACTTGTTTGGAGCGTTTTTAGTGGCAAACAACAAGTTTGGTTGCTTGTTTGGAGCATTTTTAGTGGCAAACAGCAAGTTTGGTTACTTGTTTGGAGCATTTTTAGTGGCAAACAACAAGTTTGGTTACTTGTTTGGAGCGTTTTTAGTGGCAAACAACAAGTTTGGTTGCTTGTTTGGAGCATTTTTAGTGGCAAACAGCAAGTTTGGTTACTTGTTTGGAGCATTTTTAGTGGCAAACAACAAGTTTGGTTACTTGTTTGGAGCGTTTTTAGTGGCAAACAACAAGTTTGGTTGCTTGTTTGGAGCATTTTTAGTGGCAAACAACAAGTTTGGTTACTTGTTTGGGGCATTTTTAGTGGCAAACAGCAAGTTTGGTTACGTGTTTGCAGCATTTTTAGTCGCAAACAACAAGTTTGGTTGCTTGTTTGGAGCATTTTTAGTGGCAAACAACAAGTTTGGTTACTTGTTTGGAGCATTTTAGTCAAACAACAAGTTTGGTTGCTTGTTTGGAGCATTTTTAGTGGCAAACAACAAGTTTGGTTACTTGTTTGGAGCGTTTTTAGTGGCAAACAACAAGTTTGGTTGCTTGTTTGGAGCATTTTTAGTGGCAAACAGCAAGTTTGGTTACTTGTTTGGAGCATTTTTAGCAAACAACAAGTTTGGTTACTTGTTTGGAGCGTTTTTAGTGGCAAACAACAAGTTTGGTTGCTTGTTTGGAGCATTTTTAGTGGCAAACAGCAAGTTTGGTTACTTGTTTGGAGCATTTTTAGTGGCAAACAACAAGTTTGGTTACTTGTTTGG